TAATGAGAACCTTCAAAACTAGGGAGGCCAAGCCCATGATGACACTCTTCAGGTCACTTGTTCTATCTAGGCTGGAATATTGCTGCACACTAACAGCACCTTTCAAGGCAGGTGAAATTGCTGACCTAGAAAATGTACAGAGAACCTTCACGGCGCGCATAACGGAGATAAAACACCTCAATTACTGGGAGCGCTTGAGGTTCCTAAACCTGTATTCCCTGGAATGCAGGCGGGAGAGATACATGATTATATACACCTGGAAAATCCTAGAGGAACTATTACCGAACTTGCACACGAAAATCACTCGCTACGAAAGCAAAAGACTTGGCAGACGATGCAACATCCCCCCAATGAAAAGCAGGGGTGTCACTAGCACGTTAAGAGACCATACAATAAGTGTCAGGGGCCCGAGACTGTTCAACTGCCTCCCAGCATACATAAGGGGGATTACCAACAGACCCCTGGCAGTCTTCAAGCTGGCACTGGACAAGCACCTAAAGTCGGTTCCTGACCAGCCGGGCTGTGGCTCGTACGTTGGTTTGTGTGCAGCCAGCAGCAACAGCCTGGTTGATCAGGCTCTGATCCACCAGGAGGCCTGGTCACAGACCGGGCTGCGGGGGCGTTAACCCCCGGAACTCTCTCCAGGTAAACTCCAGGTACAATATTTGACAATACTCGTGGCGGCAATGCGTCATGCAGGCAGCATCAGTTTGAGTAACCCTGCCCTATCAGCAGCATCATACTATATTAACTGTACTAACTGGACAGTAAATTTCACCATGGCCCCTAAGATGAAGTCTGAATCTTGCACTGGAGATTGTGGCAAGAAAGGCTCTTACTCTCAAACTCTCTATTTGTTTTCACTGTTGCACATAAACCTGTCTGTATCTGTCTGCTTGTATATTTGTGTATCTCTGTGTGTCTGTTTATCTGTCGGTCTACCTGTGTGTCTGTCTTTCTGTCTACCTGTGTCTATGTCTACCTGTGTGTCTTTCTGTCTACCTGTGTGTCTGTCTTTGTCTACCTGTGTCTCTCTACCTGTGTCTTTCTGTCTTCCTGTGTGTCTGTCTACTTGTGTGTCTGTCTTTGTCTACCTGTGTGTGTCTTTCTGTCTGCCTGTGTGTCTTTCTACCTGTGTGTGTCTTTCTGTCTACCAGTGTGTGTCTTTCTGTCTACCTGTGTCTGTCTCTGTCTACCTGTGTGTGTCTTTCTGTCTACCTGTGTGTGTCTTTCTGTCTACCTGTGTGTCTTTCTGTCTACCTGTGTCTTTCTGTCTGCTTGTCTGTCTCAGAGCCACTCATTAAGAGTGTAATTGGTCTTGAAGACGCCATATTAATAAAGATAATAACACATTAATAATCGCTGAAGCGCATTAAATGTGTATAAAACGTTGATATAGACATTTTGCTTAATCCATCTATGATTTCTTTTTCAAAATTATATAACAAACATGCCTCATAATATATAAACATATAAATTAACAAATATGAGATGTTTTTCTGGTCGGCTTGACAGAGTGAACAGAAACCATTCGTGTCCGGGCTGGCAACAACAACAACGTTTGTTTACATAACTCGCCAATCTTCTACACTCTCATTCGTTTATTCATTTAATCTTGTTTACTCACCTCTCACTCTACATTAAGACTACAGATATTTTAAGGTAAGTAATGAGTGGACACGATTATTGTATTATAGTTTAATAATAATATTATTATTATTAGTAGTATATATGTATTATTGTAATAATAATAATAATAATAATAATAATAATAATTATTATTATTGTTATTAATTTAGGGCACTGGAGCACAGATCCACTGTATAGCACTTTGTCTGGATTTTTTGGGTTATCCTAGGTAATTTATACTATGTATGATAACTTCACTTATGTGTACCTGTGAGAGAGAGAGAGTTAGAGATACAGAGAGACAGCCACATTCAGTCGGCCACCCGGCCAGCCAGCCAGCTACGTATTACACATGTTTCAGAGTTGTTTCTCTTTACTTAGGGTATAGGTTATACTACATTCTGGCAGGATGACACAACCAGTGGTATTCTCCCATTCACTGTGTCGACAATACATAAAGATAACAGTAACATTTGATACTGTATGCGATGTAAAATTTACAATACAGTTCGCTACCATGTATACATTATATACAGTACATAAATAATTAAAATATAACAATAGAAGTAAATTATGGTAAAAAGAATGAAATAATGATTGTACATTACATTACAGTACTATGTAGGTAGTTTATATAGGAAAAGTTTGACATTATGCCCTGCCCAGTATGTCGGCAATTTTCAAAGGTTCGACTTATGTCCATTTTGACTTACGACCAGTTGGTCGGAATCAGGCTTGGTCGTAAGTCGGATGGTAGGTGTATTTCACTAGAACTCCATTTTTTCTACTGAATGAATACAAGAAACCACCCATTTACTGATTTCAACTTTCCAATAAAGTGGTCAGAATTTAGCAATTTTGCCAATTTCACACAAATTTCAAAAGATGCCAATTTCCAGATAGGGTCCAGAATAAACAAGACATACATTCCTGGCACTAAAATATTCCCTTTGTTCATTAGTCATGTCCCCAGGCCCCTCTTGCATTTCTTTTGCTTTCCACTTTGAATTTTTATTCTCACAGAAAATAGAAGATTTACTGTTATGCAGACTACTGCATTAGTGTAGAAATCATATAAATAATATCAGCGCATTTGTGAAAGAATATTATACTCACCAGTTGACATGCATTGGACGCATGGCATGATTGATTTACTTTTGAACTTTGGCAAAAATCGAACATTTCTGCTACAGTGGACCCCCGGTTCGCGAAGCCATCGGTATCTGATAAATCCGGTATCCGAAGCATTATATCACAAAACATTTGTCTCGGTTCCCGTTACAAAACCTGGTATGCGATACGATTCGTACGAGACGTGTCCACGTGTGGCCTGAACTGTCCGGTGTGTGCCAGTGTGCGCGCATCTAAGGATACATTCGGTACATTCCATATTATCCATATTATCACTGTTTTTGGTGCTTGTTTCTGCAAAATAAGTCACCATGGGCCCCAAGAAAGCTTCTAGTGCCAACCCATCAAGACCAAGGGTGCTAATGACTATTGAAATGAAGAAAGAGATAATTGCAAAGTATGAAAGTGGAGTGCGTGTGTCGGAGCTGGCCAAGTTGTATAGTAAACCCCAATCAACCATCTCTACTATAGTGAGCAGGAAAACGGCAATCAAGGAAGCTGTTCTTGCAAAAGGTGCAACTGTGATTACGAAACAGCGACCGCAAGTGTTAGAAAATATTTAGAGACTGTTATTGGTGTGGATAAATGAAAAACAGATAGCAGGAGATAGCATCTCTCAAGCGATAATTTGTGAAAAGGCTAGGCAGTTGCATGAGGATTTAATTAGAAAAATGCCTGCAACTAGTGGTGATGTGAGTGAATTTAAGGCCAGCAAAGGTTGGTTTGAAAGATTTTAGAATCGTAGTGGCATACATAGTGTGATTAGGCATGGTGAGGCTGCCAGTTCAGACCAAAAAGCAGCTGAAAAATATGTGCATGAATTCAAGGAGTTGAATTCAAGATATGTTGTGCGACAGAAGTCCAGTGACTCTCAGGCTGGTCCTAGTGGCATTAAAAGAAGAAGAAATAGCCCTGGAAAAGGACTTACTACCTCAAGTCCTAATGGAAGGGGATTCTCCTTCTAAACACTAACACCTCTCCCCTCTTCCCATCCCATCAATCATCACCAGATCTTCATTAAAGGTAAGTGTCAATTATTCTATTGTGATTATTCTATTGTTATTATTGTTATTGTAATTGTTATATTGCATTAAACTTAATATTTCATGTGGTAAAAGTTTTTTTTTCATACTTTTGGGTGTCTTGCACGGATTAAGTTGATTTCCATTATTTCTTATGGGGAAAATTGATTCGCTTTCCGATAATTTTGGTTTACGATCAGGTCTCAGGAACGGATTAATATCGTGAACCGGGGGTCCACTGTACTTTGAGCTCAATTTCAAGGTACTTTTTATTGTAAAACCAATCAGAATCATCTCAATTTTTGTAATATGTCTTCCATTCTATAAAATGAGACCAGGAAAACTAGAATACAATTATAAATACCATACGAAAATACAGTGCAAAGTCGCTGTTTTAAACCAAAAATGCACTCTATGCTGCAGAATTTTTTTTATACTGTGCACACTGACCACATAGACCCATTCTTTCATATGTAGGCCTACCAGTTTTCACTAGATTTGAAGGCGCTAGAATTTACGCGTACTAGTACGTCAATAACCCTGGTGCGTAAGCCGTACTAGTATGTCGGAAACCCTGAAAGGGTTAAAGGAGGGAGTTTGGGATATTGGCAGTTTGGAGGGATATGTTGTGTATCTTTATACGTATACGCTTCTAAACTGTTGTGTTCTGGGTACCTCTGTGAAAAACAGAGATTATGTATGAGTGAGGTGAAAGTGTTGAATGATGATGAAAGTATTTTCTTTTTGGGGATTTTCTTTCTTTTTGGGTCACTCTGCCTCGGTGGGAGACAGCCAATTTGTTAAAAAAAAAAAAAACACACACCCCTCTGGGTTTTCTTCTATTTTCTTACAAGTTCTTGTTCTGGTTTATTTCCTCTTATCTCCATGGGGAAGTGGAACAGAATTCTTCCTCCGTAAGCCATGTGTGTAGTAAGAGGTGGCTAAAAGGCCGGGAGCAAAAAGTTAGTAACCCCTTCTTCTGTATATAATGCTAAAGTTAAAAAGAGAATCTTTTGTTTTTCTTTTTGGGCCACCCTGCTTCGGTGGGATATAACCAGTTCGTTGAAAGAAGAAAAGCTCAGTTACAGACTTCTCATTATCATTTGCCTGGGGCTCTCCAGAGTTACATACTACACCATTTACAACAGTTTCCTACCTTCGTGATTTAGTGTTAGTGTTTGGCTTGAGAACTGTAACACATAAAATTACATTTTACAGCCCAACTAGATGGCATAATGTTTACTTGTGGGATGTGCTCCTTCAAGACAGTTAAGAGAGACAATTACCTAGCACATATTGCTGAGCACAGAAGAGGTGAGAATAAGAAGCAATGTCAGGTGATGTCACCAACTAAAGTTAGCAAAACTGAAGCACCACAGGTTTGTATATTTTTTTTTTTTTGCTCTGTTTATTTTGAATCATACAAATTACACTCAATGAAAGTATAGTACTATATAGTAGTTCAGTTGTATGCATGTGTTTTTGTTTGTGATATTTGAAAGTACAAATATATTTAAGAGTTTCCAATTAGAGAGTTCTGATGATGATTTTTAATGATATTTGTAAATTTTCAGGCCATTTTAAGTGACATGGCACCACCAGCTCCACATGTGGTTAATATTGATGTGGATAGTGGGGCTGTTACAGTGGAAAGTCCAGTCAACACAGATTTTATTAATAATGTAAATGTACAGGTGGGTGGTTATAATTGTGGTCTGAGTTGGTGCATTTTTTATGATAATTTATATTCAAGCTTCACATCAAAGACAAAAAAAAAAAAAGTCATTGTAGATTCACAACGAAGTATGTGCACCACATTGAAGGTAATTACTCTTTTGCTGTGATTTTTAGCCAAATAATGTTGGTTAACACTTTGCAGGCTCCAGTCCCAGGTCAAGTGATATTAGCTGGGGAACAGTATATCTATGCTGCTGTTGACTCCTCCATGTTGTCTCAGGTATGCCATTAGGCAACCCATCTCATTTTACATTTTTTTTTTTATATTTTTTAACACCATTCTTGGTGTTAATTTCTCAATGTTCCCTACATGTGGATATAAATTACATAAACCTGTATTTAATCAAAAATGGCATGGCACATCTGGGAATGAAGTCTTGGTGAACCCAGGCAACATTAAAAGAAGCACACACACAACTCGTAGTGTGAGGATTTCACAGAAAATTTTAAGCTTTATGATTTTAAATTTATAGTCTTCATTGAAATCTATTTCATTTAAAATTCAGTGATGTACAAAAACCTATAATGGTATAGAATCTTTGTAAACTTGCATTTACATGAGAGGTTGAAAGAGGGCATAAGCAGCATGAAAGCATTTTCATGTGTATTATGGTGCAGAAGTAAGGAAAATGTTGTAACTGATGATGAATATATTGTCACTGCACGTGTATAATTGTTTTATTTGTTTTTTTTTTCAACAAGTCAGCCGTCTCCCACCGAGGCAGGGTGACCCAAAAAAAAGAAAGAAAATCCCCAAAAAGAAAATACTTTCACCATCATTCAACACTTTCACCACACTCACACATTATCACTGCTTTTGCAGAGGTGCTCAGAATACAACAGTTTAGAAGCATACACATATAAAGATACACAACATATCCCTCCAAACTGCCAATATCCCAAACCCCTCCTTTCGAGTGCAGGCATTGTACTTCCCATTTCCAGGACTCAAGTCCGACTATGTGAAAATAACCGGTTTCCCTGAATCCCTTCACTAAATATTACCCTGCTCACACTCCAACAGATCGTCAGGTCCCAAGTACCATTCGTCTCCATTCACTCCTATCTAACACGCTCATGCATGCTTGCTGGAAGTCCAAGCCCCTTGCCCACAAAACCTCCTTTACCCCCCTCTCTCCAACCCTTTCGAGGACGACCCCTACCCCGCTTTCCTTCCCCTATAGATTTATATGCTTTCCATGTCATTCTACTTTGATCCATTCTCTCTAAATGACCAAACCACCTCAACAACCCCTCTTCTGCTCTCTGACTAATACTTTTATTAACTCCACACCTTTTCCTAATTTCCTCACTCCGAATTTTCTGCATAATATTTACACCACACATTGCCCTTAAACACGACATCTCCACTGCCTCCAACCGTCTCCTCGCTGCTGCATTTACCACCAAAGCTTCACACCCATATAAGAGTGTTGGTACTACTATACTTTCATACATTCCCTTCTTTGCCTCCATAGATAACGTTTTTTGACTCCACATATACCTCAACGCACCACTCACCTTTTTTCCTTCATCAATTCTATGATTAACCTCATCCTTCATAAATCCATCCGCCGACACGTCAACTCCCAAGAATCTGAAAACGTTCACTTCTTCCATACTCCTCCTCCCCAATTTCATATCCAATTTTTCTTTATCTAAATCATTTGATACCCTCATCACCTTACTCTTTTCTATGTTCACTTTCAACTTTCTACCTTTACACACATTCCCAAACTCATCCACTAACCTTTGCAATTTTTCTTTAGAGTCTCCCATAAGCACAATATCATCAGCAAAAAGTAACTGTGTCAATTCCCATTTTGAATTTGATTCCCCAAAATTTAATCCCACCCCTCTCCCAAACACCCTAGCATTTACTTCCTTTACAACCCCATCTATAAATATATTAAACAACCATGGTGACATTACATATCCATGTCTAAGACCTACTTTTACCGGGAAGTAGTCTCCCTCTCTTCTATACACCCTAACCTGAGCCTCACTATCCTCATAAAAACTCTTTACAGCATTTAATAACTTACCACCTATTCCATATACTTGCAACATCTGCAACATTGCTCCTCTATCCACTCTATCATATGCCTTTTCTAAATCCATAAATGCAATAAAAACTTCCCTACCTTTATCTAAATACTGTTCACATATATGCTTCAATGTAAACACTTGATCTACACATCCCCTTTACCCACTCTGAAACCTCCTTGCTCATCCGCAATCCTACATTCTGTCTTCCCTTTCTAATTCTTTCAATTATAACCCTACTGTACACTTTTCCTGGTATACTCAGTAAACTTATTCCTCTATAATTTTTACAGTCTCTTTTGTCCCCTTTCCTTTATATAAAGGGACTATACATGCTCTCCGCCAATCCCTAGGTACCTTCCCCTCTTTCATACATTTATTAAACAAAATACCAACCACTCCAACACTATATCCCCCCCCTGCTTTTAAGGAGTGCCTCCGGCAAAAAAATGTAGCTTTTTTGTTTACCGTCCGATTTCCTCCAGTTTTGGTGCACAAGACAAAGTGTTTTCACTCATTCTTGAAAATATTTATCAAAAATATACCTCAAACGACAACTGAGAAAAGACTGAAAAAGACTGATTTTCTGAAAAATGTCCTTGTCTCAAAAATCATTCCTATATGGGACATCGTAAGGTTGTTTGGACACTTGGTGCCCAGAGAGCAATGCTTAAACTAATTTTAGGCAACGCCTTTTCTCTAAATAAACGTATCTTTATATAAAAAAAAAAAAATTTTTTTTTTAGTTCCCGGAATACTGCAAAAAATCTGCCCTTTACTCCCACATAACTCCGAAAGTATTTGAATATTTCCAAAATTACCTTTAACAAAATTAGAGAAACCATTATTCTACAATTTCTGTGAATATTATTCCATTTAATTAAGTAATAAATGCAGAAATAGCAACTGTAGAGGAATAAGTTACTTCCGAGATATAGGCCTAGAACGCCGGCCGGCCCACCGTCTCAAAAAAAAATTTTTTTTTTCGCGAAAATCGCGTTTGTTTGGGTGTATTTCTTAGTAAACTGATGTTCTAGTGCAGTTATCCTCTTCAAAAAACACCGTTTTCTCTTACTCAGAGACCAAAGAATACGACACGGAGACGACATGGAGAGCAGTAACTCAATATTTATCGAAATATTCCCGATAATCTTTCGCCATATTATGGTCTATTTTTTTCAGTCTAGAGTATATAACATGTTTGTATGTTATTTAGAGTGTTTATTATATCATATTAGAACAATTCTGATAGATAAATAAGCTGTAGAGTTGATATATAAGCTGATATAAGCGTAATAATGAAGTGATTTCTCCTGGCGCGGCAACCCTTCCGCGCATTATGATATGATTAATGACTGTTGCTCAATCTAGGGATAAGCTCCGCCTTCAGTTTTATGATGCCAAGTACTCAGTTATTATATTGAAAGTATAATGCAAGAAAAAGCGATAAAAAACAAGGAAAAATTTCCAAAATATATATGGGCTGTGAGCAGACTCGCTACCAATATCACCGTCACCTTACCTCATATAAATGACTGTAATTTCTTGTAGAAACGTCGTAGAACATTCATTCTGGTACCATTGTGTTGCCAAAGAGTTGAGCTATTTTTCAGTATATATAACTCACTATCCATATTTTTCCGATATTTCGGTGAGCGCGCGCGGAAATTTGCCGGAGGCACTCCTTAACATTTCTGTCATGATCCCGTCAGTTCCAGCTGCTTTACCCCCTTTCATTCTACGTAATGCCTCACGTACCTCCCCCACACTTTCATTCTGCTCTTCTTCACTCCTAAAAGATGGTATACCTCCCTGACCAGTGCATGAAATTACTGCCTCTCTTTCTTCCTTAACATTTAAAAGTTCCTCAAAATATTCTCGCCATCTACCTAATACCTCCATCTCCCCATCTACTAACTCCCCTACTCTGTTTTTAACTGCCAAATCCATACTTTCCCTAGGCTTTCTTAACTTGTTTAACTCACTCCAAAATTTTTTCTTATTTTCATTAAAATTTCTTGACAGTGCCTCTCCCACTCTATCATCTGCTCTCCTTTTGCACTCTCTCACCACTCTCTTTACCTTTCTTTTACTCTCCATATACTCTGCTCTTCTTATAACACTTCTGCTTTGTAAAAACCTCTCATAAGCTACCTTTTTCTCTTTTATCACACCTTTACTTCATCATTCCACCAATCACTCCTCTTTCCTCCTGCCCCCACCCTCCTATAACCACAAACTTCTGCCCCACATTCTAATACTGCATTTTTAAAACTATTCCAACCCTCTTCAACCCCCCCACTACTCATCTTTGCACTAGCCCACCTTTCTGTTTATACACCTTAGCCCACCTTAGTTTATACACTTTCACCTCCCTCTTACTTGTTGTTGCCACCTTCCTCTTTTCCCATCTACCTCTTACTCTAACTGTAGCTACAACTAAATAATGATGCGATATATCAGTTACCCCTCTATAAACATGTACATCCTGGAGCCTACCCATCAACCTTTTATCCACCAATACATAATCTAATAAACTACTTTCATAACGTGCTACATCATACCTTGTATATTTATTTATCCTCTTTTTCATAAAATATGTATTACTTATTACCAAATCTCTTTCTACACATAGCTCAATTAAAGGCTCCCCATTTACATTTACCCCTGGCACCCCAAATTTACCTACTACTCCCTCCATAACATTTTTACCCACTTTAGCATTGAAATCCCCAACCACCATTACTCTCACACTTGATTCAAAACTCCCCATGCATTCACTCAACATTTCCCAAAATCTCTCTCTCTCCTCTACACTTCTCTCTTCTCCAGGTGCATACACGCTTATTATAACCCACTTTTCACATCCAATCTTTATTTTACTCCACATAATCCTTGATTTAATACATTTATAGTCCCTCTTTTCCTGCCATAGCTTATCCTTCAACATTATTGCTACTCCTTCTTTAGCTCTAACTCTATTTGAAACCCCTGACCTAATCCCATTTATTCCTCTCCATTGAAACTCTCCCACCCCCTTCAGCTTTGTTTCACTTAAAGCCAGGACATCCAGCTTCTTCTCATTCATAACATCCAAACATAAGTTAAGTTATGAAATTTATGGCTCTCTTTTAGAAAATTGCATTCTAAGCAAAGAAGAGAGAGTTTCAGTCT